GGTCACAGGCTCTGAATCCGACCTTCCCAGACCTGAAATGCTGGAGGCTGCAAGTGGGAGAGGAACAGTGGAGAAAATCCTTCCAGCATCCCTTCTGCTGAGATGTAACACAGGCTTTTTGATATGCCTGTGTGACATGGGCCAAAGCCCACCAAGTAGAGCTACAAGGCCCCCTTGGCGATGGGGCCACTAAGGGCACATCACTGATCTCTTGGGACAACAAAAAAATCAAAACAGGGATGGGAGTGAAGGTCACAGGATTCAAAAGAGTGCGCCGAGAGGGGGGACACTGAGCAAAGCACACTGCCAGGGCCCACCTGCCCTCGAACGAATCCAAGGAGCCAGCGGACATGCCATGGCCAGAGGCCTATTTAATTCATAGTGGAGTTATGGACCTTAGGCCCAGAAAGCAACTATTAGTACTGTATGTATATACATATGTATACATCTACACACACACCTATACACCACACACACTCAGACATCTACACGCACATATATACACTGAAAATCACCTCCTCAGAGGCTGTGAAAGGAGATGGTGAAGCGGTTTGTGCCCACCACAGTTTGTGCTACACATATACACACACATATACACACATGTACGTATGCAACTACACGTATACACACTTTATAACATAGCAAATTTTGTGTATGTACACACACACAATACACACGCACACATAGATGAGTATGTATACATATACGTTTGTGTGCACATGTAGGGGTGTGTGTACCTTCTATATATATAAAGGGCTTAGTCCGTCTGTCTGTCTGTCTGTCTGTCCATAATGTTCTTTAAATGCGAATAGCTTGAAAACCGTAAGAGACTGAACATTTGTGTCTTCAGAGAAATTTCTTTGCTAAACCTTAGCGTTTGTTTAGTGGCCATGTCAGGATGATCCCAACTTCCAGAACTGGGGAGAAAGTCAGGGTCAATGTTGTTTCCGCTGAGCTCCTCCCGGGAGGGCGCCGGGAGCCTGGTGCAGTGGGGAGGGCAGAGAGAGGGGCCAGCTGCGGAAAAGCAGGAGCCAGGCAGAGGTGCAAGGCAGCAGGCGAGCAGCCGCGGCCCCGTCCTGAGCCCCGAGCAGGGAAGGAGGCGCCTGGGGGCGGCGCAGAGGAAGCAGGCAGCAGTTGTGAGGTGCGGTGCTCGCTTGCCCCTGCCCCTGCCCCTGCCCCTGCCCCTGCCCACCAAACAGGTGCTCAGGTGGCGGCCGGGGGCAGCGTGAGTGGGCGTGCACCCAGCCCGCTGCATGAGAGCCAGCACAGGAAGGGACGTATCGGAAATGTCCAGCCTCTTTTATTTAAGTGTTATAAATATTTATTTAAAAAACATAAAAAGTAATATCTATTTTTGTTATTTGAAACTCACCTGTCATTCTTGACAGGCGATTCCCGTGTGTGTGTGTGCGCGCGCATGCACGCACCATGCTATGTTATAAAGTGTGTGTATATGTGTAGGTATACGCATGTGTATGCATGCACGTGTGTGTGTATATATGTGTGTGTTCACATGTGTATGTGTATGCATGCGCATGGATACATGTGCACGCCTAGAGCAGGGGGCTGGACCTGATGATCATGTGTGTATATATGTGTATGTATGCATGTACATGCTTATGCATGTGTATGTACGCACCCACACGTGTGTCTATACGTGTGTGTACACACATGCACATGTAAACATGCGTGTGCGCGCACGGGGCCTATATGTGCGCATGTCTGTGTGTAGCACAAGCTTTGGGGGGGTTGAAGCTGCTTCCCCGGTGCCTTTTCCAGCACCTGAGGAGGGAGCTTCACCCACGGGAGCTGGAGCACGAGACGTGTGTGCATGCCCGCGCGCGCACACAGTCGCACTCGCGCGGGGCCAGGC